AACCGAAAAGTGAAAAATCTTGTGTAATTACATTGTTCCTAAATTATCTCTTGTATACAGGGTGATTCCTATAGTACCTGCCACCGTTTGGGAGCGTATAGGGGGTGCCTAGGGGAGTATTTTGATATAGGACACTTGGGGGCGGAAATCTAAAATAAGGGCGCCAGAACCAAATTTATCTTCTGGAATTTCACGCCTGTATGTAGGCAACCCAACCGATCGACGTTTCGCGCGGAGCGATGCAGAGCGAGTTAGCGCGAGGAAGCGACATGGGAGGGAAGGAGGGAAAACGACAGTCAAAAGCAATAACGTTTACAAATGTTCAACGTGGCCACCGTTGTTCTCAATGCACTTCCTACATCTAGCCAACTATTATTATACTATTGCCATAGTGTTTATTCCCTTGATACGCGTCGTTGCAGACGGGATTTCGTGGGTTTAAACAAAATTCTGATCAAGTGTCAGCCACACATCGCCGCCTGAGATCGCTCCGTGTGCACCCGCCGGCCGGTTGGGTTGCCTACCTACAGGCGCGAAATTCCAGAAGGTAAATTTGGCTCTGGCACCCTTATTTTAGATTTCCGACCCCAAGTGGCCTATATCAAAATACTCCCCTACGCACCACCTACACGCTCCCAAACGGTGGCAGGTACTATAGGAATCACCCTGTATACGTCTTAGGAACTTTTCAATACAATGTTTGGGCAGTCGATACCCAAATATGACTCAGTAAAAGTTCTTGATTATGTATAAAAAACCAAAGAACAATGTGGAGATGAATTTATGCGTGGAAACTCCCAAATTGACAGTTTGAAAAATAAAGGTAAGGGTGTTAGAGCGTAACTTTCACTCTCAGCTTACACTTCCTTTTCGTACTATTCTTGAGCTTCTCGTGGCACGCTGCTCACGATAGCACTTAACAGTTCGCCCCATAATAAATCAAAAGTTGAATGTTTGCGCATTAATAACATTTAGGCAACTCCTAATCAGATGTGTAGGTGAAGCAGATTTCATCGTAGATATTGGTGCGCTCATCCAATATTTATGGGCGTCGATAGAAACCGAAAGTAATATTGATGATCCTTATAAAACCAAAATACGTGGGGGATACCGCCACATTATGCCTATGGAATAAGATTACAAGCTGTAAAAGTATCGACTCATATTTGGAATTGTTCAATATTCGTTTGTTTCAATTGTGCGCGGACTTGTTCTTTTGTTTAGCTGTTTAGCATGTTGTATTGTATTCAATTTATTAGCGGAAACCAATCTACAGTAAATGTCATTGTTTAAATACAGCAATCGCACCACAGGATTGTATACAGATTCGTGTAGTGGATCTAATGCCTCACTAAATCCTGCGCACTATTAAATTTTAATGTAATGAGTCATTGCGACTTCAAATTAATTGTTGTTTATCTATAATACATCTCTAAACATAGTCGCTTTGACGGTGTACTGTGCAGTCACTTATCAAACAAGAGAATACTAGCAAAGTGCAGCACTATGAGTAAATAGTTCTCAACATCCTCCCCTAAGGAAATATCTACAGGCTACATTAATAATTACACACATTTAGGCGAATGACTATTGCAGTTCTCCATAGATTAAGTTTATCAAATTGTCAATATTTGCATACAAATTAAAACTGTCGACTACTTTCATTTCCTACGGACAATGTTGGAGTATTCTTTCCCAAACATTCTTATATCTGTCGCTGAGTTTAAACTTAAACACATTGCAAATCGGTTGCTTTAAAAAATTAAGTCAAGGCTACCCTTAATTAAAATTAATGTAATTAATATTTCTATCTGCTCCTATCACAGAGGGAGAGAGAGAGACGAAGTTAAAAATATCACCTTTGAACTGGAGCCGCAACCATCTAAATTCAGAAGGGTGTGTCTGCCAATAATCTGTATTCAGATAAAACAACGACTGTGTAGCTCAGTTGTCGAGCGTTGGACTACATAGCCGGAGGTCGGGTGTTCGAACCTGGAGTGAGGTAAGAATTTTTCATCTGTGGCAGAGAAAGGAATTTCCTAGGTCAGTTTCGAGCATTCTGCCGGCTACTCCGAATTAGGTTTTCCTGCAGTTTTCCTAATTTGTAGGGTAAATACCGGAGTTGCGTCGAACAACTTGAGACTTTTTGCAGGGGCATCACTAAAAAGCATACTGCCCCTCCCTACCCTAAGACAGCGAAATTTGATGGCTGTCTGCCACACCTTCAAGGTATAGGCAACCTTTTGCGAAAATTCCAAGGAAATTCCCCTAAAAGTAATGGGTGGTCACGGCAGAGGTGGGTTAGGACGGAAAGACGGACCGGCGGAAAAAACGCAAACAATAGCACATTTTTTCAATTCTTAAAAAAACTACGCTAAAACTACCAAGGATGAAAAACATTTAATTACACGACATAATTAAACACACAATTACGAAAAGTCGCGAGAACAGCGAGGGGAAACGCTTACTTTCATGATCTCGAAGGTCCGTGACGCAGTAATTTAGTTCCAGCTCTTAGCTCTTAGAATGTGTGGTTTGCGCATGTGAAAGTTCAAACTTCCCATAGTGGCTTCAAGTCATGATAGCTATGAATAAATCGGCAGCTATTCTTTGGATTCAAAGACTGAAACCTACCAACTGAAATGAATGTAAAAGCCTCACTTGGTGAGTAGCGACACACTCCTCCGCTCCCTCCTTTTACCGGGAAGTATTATAGAAATAAGTCGATGAGTAAGTTACATTATATTAGAAGCGTATCTTGACGGATGAGATGAATTTAGTCCCGTGCAAAACATACAATCATACCCAGATAAGAAGTCACTTTACACTTGGCGCCCCCGACTCATCTGTTAAGTGGAATTCTCAATCTTATGCCCCAAATCTACGGATTACGAGCCGAAAAGACTTACGACTCTAAAATCGATTCAATTAAATCTGTTTAGAAATTGATAGCATCGTTTGGCTCTGCACGTGAACCCACCTTCGGCTTCACCTCGCTACCTTACAAACTTTTTGAGTGTTTCTATTGACTTTCTTTACATAGATAAAAAAATCCAAACTGGAATTCAATTTTGTGAAACATTTAAAAATTGATGGTATAATTTTACCCAACAAGAGATCAAAGACTCTGATTCGGCGCTTGCGCCGCCTCGCCCCACTGCTTTCTAAACTGTTGATGATTTTGCTCGGGTTTGCTCGTAATGGTGCAACGAGAGCATTTATTTGAGTCAATTTTTTTGCGGTTTCCCCGTTGAAATATGTGGACGAAAAATCTAACAGTTTAAAAAGAGTCAAGGTTGCATGAACATTTGACCAACCAATGTTACTCATAACAAGTACAAGTTTTTATGTTGTAGATTGTAATACGGCGAACTTTTAGTAATATTCTCACATGTTCGTCAATGAATTGTTTGTTCTAAATTGTCGCTCCCTTATCTGGTTTTGGTTTTGAATTACACGCTGGAAATAGGTCGTGTTAAGTTACTTCGGCAACGTTGCAAATTAAGCGCAGCTGGGTGAAAATAAGCTGACTTTACAGTATTCCGAACCTCAGTATACATCCCTGAAAGCCCGGTGAAACGAGATAAGCATTCGAAAAGCGGCAGTGAGCTGGGAAATAGTGTTTTTGGTCGACCTAATCAAAGTAAGGTCCAGAACGTTCGATGAACCGAGCTCAGAAAATCAGTTTAAGTAAATTAAGGGCGACCGCGTAGTCCAGTTAAACCAGTTTTGTGAAAAAATCTGCATTATTGGCTCAAGGGGAAAATAGTACGGAGCGAAAAAAGAGTTTCACGTGAACGTGAGAAGTCCGAGTGTCACCTTTGGATAGTCAAGAAGTGAATTGTAGTTCCGCCCTACCCAGCATAAATTGAGTGTATAAATTGTGATAACCAGTTAACTAAAGAGTGCTACTTCACAAAAAAATTTTTTTGGTATAAAAAAATACGCCCAGAGATATTTGCGTATTTCATTGCGGGACTTCATAAAGCTCGTAATCGGGCAGGTTCCTTTAGTAAAGGGCACCGTCCGCTATTGTAAGCAATCGCGTTTGTAAGTGAATTCCTTGAGAAGCTGTACTGTGCAGGGATACCAAGTAAAAAAGAAAGTTAGTTTATGTGGCGCACGAAATAGAAGGAAGAAAATTGTTTATAAAATCAAATAATATTAAAATTCATTATTAGTCCGCTAATGAAAAGAGCAGGTTTGGTGGAAAGCGTACCTAAGAGATTGCCTCACAAATCACAGTTAAATCAAACCATAATCAAAATCAGGTTAGTCTGAGTGTGTATGAATCCAAAGGGTAGTCGCCTAACGATTGCAGGTTTAAGTATGGAGCCCTCTGATATCTACCCCATTTGACGAGTAAACATGTTAGCAGTAAGAACTCCAAATCTTCCACGCCGAAAAAAAATTGTAAATAAAGGTTAGTCGTATTTATCTATTTTGTCACATTTACTCGATAACTTTAAGATCCCCTGTCAGAGATAAATATTGATCCGTTGTACTCTTACTAGTAAAATTTTAATCGCGGGATTGTAAAGGGGTCGAAAAGTGTAAGATTGGGTGTGTTTTTTTCGGAATCAAAGGTATTCCATAAACCCCATTGTTCAAGGGTTATTTATTATGTAATTTGTCACAGTAAAATCAAAATTAAGGTTTGACTAAACTGTAAAGCTACTTATGTAAATTAGTCGCAAACAAATTTCAAACAATTAATGGCCGTTTGCACCGACAAAGTTAAATAGAGTTTAGCTTAATCCATGGCAACCATTGTCTCAATTATCGTTGCCATTGATTTTAAGTTATGCTTAACTTAAATTTGTC